AAATTGTTTCAATTTGTTTAAGTCTCTAGATTATTCCGTCTTTACAGAGGCCTTTCTTTGCTCTGTTCTGTCTTTACTCTGCACAGCCTTCTTCACAGACTTCATTACAGACCATGTCCTTCCAGTCAGGAGATGGTTTCGATTATTGCCTGGGGTGTTGACCGGCATGGAAGAAGGGAAAAGAGTAGCAGAAGGAAACTCCACTTTATTTAAAATTCAAATAGGCGTCAAGAATCTTTGCTGAAGAAAGTCAGTTCAGACGGCATAGGGGAGAAAAATAGGAACAGAATACACACCTTTTCCCTCATACTTTTTACGCCTGCAGTGACTTACAACTGCCGGGAAGTTCTTTTCTACGCCCTTTCTACGTCTACACTGTTTTCTTTGCAGAAAGTTAAAATAGATGCCAAAAAAGTAAAGGGTTTACTTTTCTCTGGAGAAACTTGTATTTCTAACAAAAGATTACCTACCTCTTTTTAGCTAATATTCTGATCTTCATATTGCAATTGAGGGATAACAAGATATGTGAACCTTTAATATTAACATGCGCAAGTTATATTATTTCAGTTTTTTTATAGACTGTATCATCTTTCTACTACCTGCCATTTCAAACTTGTATGAATTAACAAAATTAAGAGTTTATGTAATATCCTGAAAATGATCTGTGTTCCTTATATCCCAAAGCCAAAGAAATTCCAAATCTGATTATTATTTAGCTTTTGTATAATTTTGGAATTAAAAACACTCACTTTTATCTTAAAGCCTATAAAATATAGAAGTGATGCGTGAAGAAAATCTTCTTCTCTCGAGGACACTTAGGTGGAGTTAGAAATAGCTAAGCTAGTGTTTAAATATCACGTATTTTCATTAATCTTTAAAATAAAAAAAATGGGTGCTACCATCCTCATCTTCCTTCCCAAACTCCTAAATGTGTCTTGAGCACCTGCTGCGAGGTGGGTCTTGGATGCCGGGATGCAGACAGGTGCAAGAGAAACGTCATCGTTATCACGATTGTAGTAAGAACAGCAGCAACATGAGCACCAGGCGGCGTGAGGATGAAGGCAGTGAGGCAGTTGTCTCAGGCACAGAGTTTGAGAGGGGAGGGTGCCCTCAAATTCAGCGATCAAATAAAGAATAGTCACATTCCTCGCGCTGGCCCCCACCATGCTGAGAACTCTCTACACGCGGTGTCCTATGCTAAGAACTTATTTATATTTCTCCTCTAGTTGTTTTAATAACCTTCTTAGGAAGGTACTGACCGTATTCTAATGGTGGAGTGACTTATGGCCACTTCCACACAGGTAGGTAAATTGTAGAATTAGGACCCAACTTTATGCTGTGAATAGCGTTTCTCTCCCTTTAAGAAGTCTGGGCTACCTATCATGGGCAGGCCTGGAGCGGCAGCTGCAACAGAGGCCGGTGAAAGTAATGCTGCTTCAGTGGATGAATGTTTGACAAAGAAAATGTGGGCTATGTATATAAAATCCAGCCTTAAAAAAAGAAAGCAATCCTTCCATTTGCAACAACATGGATGGACCTGAAGGACGTTATTCTAAGTGAGCTAAGTCAGACACAGAAAGACAAATACTGCACGATCTCAGTTACATGTGGAATCTGAAATAGCTAAGCTCATAGAAGCAGGGAGTAAAGTGGTGGTTGCCAGAGGCTGGGGCGGGGGACACGGGGAGATGTTGGTCAAAAGGTACAAAGATTCAGTTACGCAGGATGATTAAGTTCTGGGATCTAATGGACTGCATGGTGACTGTAGTTAACAACACTGTGTTCTATACATGAAATTTGTTAAGAGAGGAGATCTGAAGTGTTCTCACCATCAAAAGGAGGAAAGAAAGGAAGAAAAAGAAAGAAAACCGTAACTCTGTGAGTCAATGGATATGTTACGATTAGCTTGATTGTGGGTGACCATTTCAGCACGTATGCGCGTATGAAAACATCAAGTTGGGCATCTTAAATGTGCACAATTCCTGTTTGTCACATATGCCTCAGTAAGGCTGAAAAAAAGGAATGGTGCTTCTCCTCTTGAAGACGACCATGCATCCACTTTTGAGGCTGGAGTTCCACCCCCTTTCATGTTAACCGAATTTATCTGACCGTGCTGACAGCCGACCTGGGGACTTCTGCCAAATGTTCTCTTTTTCTCTGCTCTACTAAAAATCGTACCCCTCTCTTTTCCATACGTCTCTAAATAAAATATCTGCCTTCCTGCACCTTTGAACAAGTGTGAGCATCATGTCTTCCAGTTCCCTGTCTGCTTTGAAATAAAGGCACAAAGAGATTGAAAACAGGGTTGTGTGTGATTACTTCCTTCCGTCCATCTTGTCAAAGTAAAACTTGGAAAGAAAGGTCATTTTTCAGGAACTCAGTGCTCTACTTAAACGAACAAAGAGCAGAGGAACTCTTGTATTTTACTTCCGTGCAATTGCTGTATTTGAGCATGATTATAGACTTTTTTCCCCCTCTGTGGGAACATTGTGATGAATTGAATGATTAAAGAAAACCTTTTCAGTTTGTGCTGTTTGCTCCCGATAATGTGAATCAAAATTGCATTCTGCAATAACAAGGCTTAAAGGAATGGCTTCTGTCTTGGCAATTTGTAGACTTCGTCCTCTTTTTTAACTGAGGAAAAGCTCACCTAACAATTCCGAGATAATAAGACAAAAGACGGAGAACAATGGTGATAATGCCTGTCTCATCCAGAGCGCTCCCTGTTCAGAGCCTCCTGCCATCAAGTGCTATTACCCCTCCTTTGCTGGTGAAGAAATTAGTCTCAAAGGCACAAATGAGCCTCATGCATCAGTTTTCCTTTAAGTGATATCTCTTTCTTCTCAAGTATAACAAAATCATAGAGAAAAATGTTCGCAATTACCCCTACCCTCAAAATGCTAGATTTATTCAACAAACACTTATTGAGTATCTGCTGAGTCCTGAGTGGAGACAGTTAATATGGTCCAAGAGGCGAAGCAGGGCGGCGAGGGGTCTCGGGCAGCCCTTGCAGGGCTGAAACTCACAGATCCAGATGCCCTCCTCTGCAGCTGTGTTCAGACTCTTCCCAGCATTGCTGAGAAAGGGTTTCTTTCCTACCCGCCAAAGCCAATGAAATGTAATTAAAAATGGTAATGTCAAATTCGGTCTGTGTGGGGCAGGTGAAAGGCAAGGAGACTGGGTTCCAGTTCTTACTGAGCCTTCTTCAGCGATTTTTAGAAATGGATTGAATCTCACTGCTCTCGTCCATGCAGCCAAATGCTGATCGTGGTAACACCTGACTTCTCGTGGGTTGTGGGTTACTATGGGGATCAGATAAGACCAACGCATTGGAAAGTACCTGTAAACTCTACATCACCTTTAACGTTCTTATTATGGTTGCTGTTGTTTTATCACTGAATTCTGGTCTAAAATCAGCCTCATCAAAAGCATGCACTAAAGGGGTGGGGAGATTAAAGAAGACATGAATTTTTTTTCCTGTTGGTGCTGATTCTAACAGAAATAGCATTTGGAGTTTTCTAAACACCACTCTGCCTGCATTATCCTATGTCCGTCTCACCAAAACCCTGGAGTTCTATAATTTTAACCCCATTTTATGTGATTGAAAAGCTAAGCTCCCAAAGTGCTTGTCTTTGGGAGGTCAGTTTATAAATAGCCAGTGAGTGCCCTAGCCCAGGTTTCACCTGTGAAAACGCCAGGAGTGTCTTTGGGGCACAGTATCCTGAGTCTGACCTCCGGCTGCCAGCTTGAATTCAGGAGGCTCTGGTGGAATAGCCTTGTTGGCCCTGTTCTCCACACCTGGTCCAAGCCTCTTTGAGCGTGAATTGGATCTGGTTGTCAGCGAACAGCAGTGGAGGCTGAGTATATTTCAAGGAGTTATTCCAAAGGAATTTGTATGTTTGTTAAAATGGGGAAGAATATTGACTCTTATTTGCTAATAAGATTAGGGACTTAAAATGTCTTACTTTTGATGAACAGAAAGTTCTGTCACTAGTCCTTTAAAAAGACACTGTCTAGTGAGTAAATTAAGTCACCAAGGCTTACTTATGATATGGATTTTCAATATAGCTTCTAGTGCGACTTCAACATCATCACTGGGATACTATCGGGACGTAAAATACAGTGACTTTTGTAGCTGCAGGAGCATAAATTTAGGCATTAATAAATTTGCCATTTTTAAACAGCTGTTGCCAAGTCATTGCTGTTACATAACCCAGCAGCCATCAAGACGAAAGTCAGGAGCTGCTCGCTCTGACACTGCATTTCCCATCCTGACAGTTTTCAGTTGTTCCTTGTGGAGCTTTATATTTCATTGTCGGAGTGAAAAATGCATCTCCATTTCAATCAGAGAATGCATCTGTGTTGTGTTTACAAATGTGCTTTATCGGAGTCTCAGGGTGCTACCGAGTAGTGGTGAAAGGAAGGGGAGGTGATGGCTGTACATACAGGACGGCTGTGAAGTGGAACTCTGCCCTCAAGCCAACGACACGCTCATACCTGTGTACATTTCTGCAGACACAGAGCTTCCAGTCTGAGAAAAGCCTCACGTACTGCTTTTGCTATGTACTTACACTAGTATTTAGAATATACTTACACAAGTATATTTATATAAGTTTTAGCACACATATATAATAGATATATGTATGGTGCAGTTATACTGTATATGCTTATGTGTAACATATATATACTTAAATGTAATCTAATACGTTACATAACACAGAAGACATATATATTATATACTTAAATGTAATCTAATACGTTACATAACACAGAAGACATATATATTATATACTTATACTAAATATTATACTAATGTCATAATTAGATGGGTTGGATTTTGAAATTAATTAATCTTTAGTCTAGGACTTTATAAGGCAAGGTCAGCTGTTAGCAATTTCATTTAAGGCATTTTTACCTGTGGATCTTGAAGAGCTGACCCAAAGCACTTCCAATATTTGGTGTACCCAATAATATCACTTCTCCTCTCCCTTTGTAATATTTGCTCTTCAGAGTCCTTTGGAAAATGTCATAAGAGGATTTCACCTACTCTATTTCCTGTCTTTCGTTTCATTGATTCTCCCTGTAAAGTCAGATAAGTACGTAGCAATATCAGAAGGCTGTGGGTTTTTTTTTAAGCTTTTACAGCTAATATAATGCTATTTTCTAGATGCCTTGGTGCACATTTTAGAGTGTTCACACTTTTCCCGAAATCAACTCATCCCAATATAATGATGAGTGCCCTTTATGCTAAAAGATATGCTAATTATTTTGGAAGTTTTCTGTTCAAATTATAACTTTTTTCAAGTTATTTTTAAAAGGATGGCCTCCCTGAGGTCTTTGTGAGAAGATTTGGTGAAGGTGTTCATTCCCCAAGTCAGCTCTAAATGTGGCCCTCAAAGCCGGGTTTCCTTCCGCGGCAGTATGTGGATGGTGTATTGTTTTTGCAGGCTAAGCAGAGCTGTGGGGTTCTCTACGTGAAAATCTCAGGCAAGTGGGAGTTCCCAGGCCTGAGGTGCTCTGGGCACCTGCCATGTGCGTACAGGTGTGTCGTGTGTCGTGGGACTGTGTGCAAGGGAGCCCTGCTCTGTGTGTGGGTTCAGAGCATCTCCCAGGAATGTTCCCAACCTAAGAACCAGGAGCCAGAAATAGCCAGAGTGAGGAGTAATATCTTCCAAGGAGGGCGAGGCCTCGTTTGCTCGTAGTCCTGTTTAAGGATTGCTTTTCCATGAGGCTCCTTTGAAGCCTTGGTTGCGGGATAAATGACACCTCGTCTTGAGAAACCACGGCGTCCCGTGCAGTCACAGTTCACCTCGGTGGTCTGGACTGCTTCCCAGGACGGTCCTCGGGGGAGAGCCTCTGCTTCCTGGATGGTTTGCAACAGTGAGTCTTGAACTTTCAGGCAAATGAGAACACCTTCCCCTCCCCCGTTGGCAGTTGTCCTGTTCGTGGATGTCTCACCTCTCCCTTGTGGGAGCTGCTGTCAGGGTCTTCTTGCCCAGGCTAGTCATGGCCTAAGGTCAGCTAGACCCCTGGGTGGAGGCGCCTCTCGGCCAGCAGCACGGCGACCCTGTGAAGCGCCTGGGTCCCAGGTCTCGTTGGCTCATCCCCTGCGTTTTGCCTCTTGAGGGGGAGTTGGGACACTTGCTGTGCTTTCCTCTTACATCCTGTGACCCCGTCTCCCAACGAGCACTGCCTCTCACTCGTTCAGATGCTCCTCTTTCACACACAAGCCGCTGGGCTCCACTGCTGAACCCCCGCGCCTGCAGGGCACATGGTGTTATTCAAATTGTCTGTGGTCTGCTTTTTGCCTTCCTCGCGCCCACGTGGCTCAGCGGGCTCTGCGCTCCAGGCCCCGCGTTTATACCGGGGCACCATCTCTGGCCAGGGTCCCGCCTGGCATGCATCCTCCCCTCCATCCCACGGCCTGTCTGTCTTCTTAGTTTCGGGTTCTGCCGCCACCGTGTTCCTGGTGGATTTAATCGCAATAAAATCACAATAAAATAGGTGGATTTAATCTGGACTGCTGATCCAGATTCCAGTCGGAAGTTCAGTCTTAACTGGTGAGGATCCAGTTTTCCACTCTGAGGTTAAAATCCAGATGGTAGGCAGCCATGTTTCACTCTCAGGTGAGAATGAAAAAGAAGTCGACCTGCTTTAAATAATTAGAATATAAAGAGACATAATTTCCAGAGCACTAAGATCTTGTTAATAAATGTTTAATATTCTTTTATAATTCGCACATTCTCTGTAGATGAACATTTGGTGGCGTTGATGACTTTAAATATAGACAAGGAAGATACAAGGCTATAAATCTAAAACCCTAAAATGGGCAAAACAATGGAGAAAATTAGAAGCTGGCTAATGTATTTTTGCTATGATTCTTAAAAGAAAGCACCTAATACCTAATGCCCAATTTCTATTAAAGAAGATTTTAATTGAAACATTAAGCTTCATTATATATAAGTTTCTAAATGATAACCTACTACTACCAATTTTTAAATCTAAATCCTGGCGTTGAACTATAATTTTTGCTAATTAAGGTGTATATGCTTAGAAATTACATTAGAATTTTAAATGTGAAATGGTTTAACAATGGCTTAAAATGACGCAAGCTAAAACACTCCTCAGAGTCTATCATTTGTCAAAGAGATGTTCTTACACCTAGAAATGGGCCACAGAATTGTGTGTCTTTAGGGGCTTGGCAGGAACAGAAGTTGAAACCTAAATACTTGGCCCGAGTGACCCAATGTTGAGCCTCAGGAAGTCGTAAGGACAGAGACAGACTACAGGCTAAAAAAATTGCTTAAGAGCTTTCAAAATTAAATAACTGTTTTAAAAACTACCTGTTTGTCCTGGCTAAACAAACACATATGAAATATGCAGCAGACTAGCCCGTCACCAGTTTGCAAAAAAATTGACTTTATTTTTGAATCCACAGATAGTTATATGCATTTAGAATGTAAATATTTAAGACAATTCTATCTAAAGCAACATTTCAAATAAAGAGGAAGTTGAAAAGGGAGTCAAATGACCACCAGGTATTATTGTTCTGTGGATAAATACTAGGAGTAGAGACCTGGTCATGCCCAGGATCGTGGGTCTCTGCTCAGCTCTGCTAGGGGCCCAGTGCCTGGGAGCCAGGCTCAGTGTGGGCATCTCGTGGGTGCGCAGGACCTGAGCCGGCGAGCAGCCAGCAGCTTGGTGAAGGGCGGTCCTCGCTCCATACGCCTTGTGCTTGATCAAGGGCTATATATGCTTTTCTGGGAGAGAAATGTAAGTTTCTGAGGGAGACAATCACTCCCTGGTCTCCCCTGCACCCCTCTGCCCTCATCTAAGGAGTGGGATTCTGGGCAAAGGGCTTGACTCCAACCTCTGATAATATTAGCATATTATCAGTATTTGTAGGAGAGGTAAAGGTATTTAACCGTTATTTGTACAAAACCCCAAAATAATCATATTAGTTCTGCAGAGCTGAGTAACCTGAAAATGTGTGTGTGTGTGTGTGTAGAAAAGAGAGAGGTTGATTTGAACGTACTGTTAATATCTGCCCATGGCAGAAGTGTTAACGTTCAGAGAAAATTTAGTGGGTAGCAATAATGGTCTAAAAAAGTCTCATAAAATCCCTAGTGCATAAATAAATAATTTACTATTAATGCCAGGTTGTATGTGATCTGAATTTTCTCCAGTCTCTCTCAAAGCATAATAGCTCTCTAGGTATTGGGTAAATAATTCATTATAAATACACCTTGGAAGGTTAAAAAGTAAACAAGGATGCATTTACTGCCTCCATTTTTCAGAGTTAGCTAAGAAAAACTGGCTGAATAGCAGAGTCAAGTTCAGATTGTTAAAAGGTAATATTGAACAATTATGTGAATTTCAGCATCATGAGACAGAGAAAGAAAGGGAAAGAGATTAGAAACGTGTTGGTGCTGACAGTTTCAAAATATAAGTTGTCCTTCTAAGAAATCTTTTCGGGTAGCAGAGTTTGTGCAGCTTTGCGGAGATGGGAAATGGAAGAGGAAGTATCTCGCTGTCCCTTCCCACAGTCCCTTAGGCAGGAGATGCCCCTGCAAGGCTGGGAACTTCCCCGGTGGCTGCAGCTTGCCCGCCCCCTTCACAGCGCCTGGACCACCCCTTGCCTTCTACGCTATAGCTCTTTCTCTGTTTTCAGATTTTCTGTCCATGACTGAGTCCCAGGTAAGGATGAATAACATCACAGATCATTTCATACAGATCTTAGGTCTGGAGCCAAACTGCTTGGGTTCAAACTCCAGCTCAAGGGGGTGCTTTTGAGACCATGCTGAGCTCTCTGTGATCCGTTCCCTGGTCTGTAAAATGGGAATGATAATAACTTGGTGGTTGTGGGGATTAAATGTGTGAGTTGAAGGGGGTGTGCAGAATCATCTCTCATTAAATACTGGCCGTATTTCTATACTTTTTGGATGTACTTGCTTATCTTCATCTACTGGAAGTATCAGTCATGATCAGACGTTAACTATACACTTAAGAGAAAAGCAAAGCATAACCATGTGTCTTCCAATTCGTTGGCCAGTTAGACAGCTGAGCTACTTTCTTTTTACAGCCCTAGGAATGTGATTATTTAGCTTGGAAGCCACGAATACTGCTGGTTTTGGATAGCAGTGGCTTGACAGACGTCTAGGAACACCCCTCACATCACTGCCCCTCTTGTGCGTTTCTTTTCTTCTTTACCGTGTCCTCTGAATTGTTCCTGCACATCTAATCTCTTCTTGGAATCGAAGGCGATGCCAAGGGCCAGGGTTCCGAGCCGTCTTGCTCTGTCGATGGAAACGACTAGGTGACTTTTGACGGGTGGCCAAGGTCACCTGAGCGGGAGGACTGTGCTGTGCTTGCTTAATAGCGCTCAGGAGAGCAGACTGAAGCGTGAGCAGACCAGGAAGGTAAGATTGGCCTCAGAACGTCATCTCTTCAGTGGCCTAAAGCTTCGCTAAGTTGACAAAGTGTAGCTTTGAGGGTCTCAGAAGGGATGCCACTGGCTTAGTTGTGATGGTTGGGGGAGGGTGTTGAGACCAGAGGCTGTGGCCACTAGATCCTTGGTGTGGTAGTGGGTGGGGCTAAGGGTAAGAAGTTCCTGGGTTTTGTAGCATTTCCTGAAGGAAAAATGAAGTCTTCTTTGTACCTAGCACCTGTCCTGAATAGTCTGTGTGGGAAGGAGAAACGCTTGGCAAGGTTTGAGAATGAGTCTCCTGTTATGAGTGCTGCATATTAATAGGACTCAAGATTGGGACATTTTCTTTGTTTAATTAGATGATTACTATATCTATTCAATTTCAACTCTTGTGCCATCAGCATTTCAGGTGGAGATATAGAAGAGGTAATTGGCAAAGTAGTCATTTTCATTTTTTCTACATTGTCTAGGATCCAAGACCTTGAGGCAAATTCTTTTAAGTGATGTCCCAGAGTCTCAGGTCTGCATATGCAGTTCGCAAGTCGGCGCCACTGTCAGTGAGGTGAAGCTGTTCCTTCCCACGGCTTTGCTCCTTCCTCGTCATTATCCTTCCGTTTAAATAATTAGGGAGCACAGAACGTGGTCTAAGTACATATTGTGTTGAACTTCACTGGATGTGGGAAGCATCTGTATAATTTTGGAACATATTATTTTAAATGATGGATGGGTCATCTTTGAGTCCAGGAAGGGGTTGAAGAGAATTCATAGCTAAAGCTGTCAATCAAATATTGACAAATTTCAATGTATAGGACAAACACAGGTGAAATTAGCTTATTGCTAATACAGGAGACTCAGTAACTGAGTTGAGAAGGTGAGTCCAGGTGAGGTTAAAGAACACCCACCAGTTTCATGGCAGAAGGAAAGCTGGGAACCTTACTTCGTCCTGTTGATAAAGTCTGGTGAATATTTGAGGATTCAGTTTATTTGCCTGAATGAGAACCCACGTTTTGACAGTTTTTGTGACTGTGGCCATATTATAGAATGTGTAATTTAGATGTTTATCAATTTTATAGACTATAATTGGTTGGTACTTGTCAAAAGGATTTAACCAAAAAGATCTGGTTGTAAAATGGTCCCAGTAAATCATACTGTAGAAACTGATAAACTAGTGAAAAGATAAGCAAAAGAGGAATGTTGAAGGTAATACTGACCTTAAGATAATAGAACTTCCAGAATGTTCTGTCAGAGCAGGGCTTCATCTGCGTTCAGGCTGTTGAGCCCTTTTCACCCTAAGCTATCTTACGAGCAGTCCTGACATCCACACTTATGCCAGGTGGCATTCTGTACCAGCTGGGGCTCCTGGAACTGACCTTTCAATTTCTTCCTAGTCAGTGAATCCAAGAGCTCCTAACAGCTGTTCTAAAAGCAGTAGAAAACTGGTCCCTGATCAGCAGAAGAACTTCAGAATCCTTCAGTCTGGAGTAGATGTCCATACATGGAGATTAAGCAGGACAGTTCATCAATGTCTTGTGGTAATCCTTGGCCAGGTATTGAGTGTGCGGTGGAAAGTTAAGGTGCTTAAAAAGTTATTCTCACTGGTTTTATAAGATGCACATCATGCAAATCTTATTTCCACAAGATCATTTTTCACCCCTTGCAAAGCCAAGACCACAAGAAGTAATGGAACTTGAAGGTGGGCAATTTGTGAAAAAGGTCAGCAGTTGTCATGAGATGTAATAACACCTGTGGTCTCCACCTCCTGCTGTCCCAGCCCTTCTGTCTTCACGCTTCTCATCCTGGCCTTTGTCAGATGTTTTCTTCCATTTTCCAGACCACTGCCCAGCAATATTAGCAGATTTGTGTATTGAAGTTTTGGTTTTTAAAAAATTCTAGATCTTTACCTAATTCCATGAGCATATTTACAAAAACCTCCCAGTTCCCCTTAAATAAAAGAATTGGATCTAAACAAAGGGAGAGGTGCTTATTTTGCACTATGCATAGACTCTACCTGATTTGGCTCTGGGCCGTACAAAGTCAGTTGTGCTGAGGTCAAGTTTTCAGTCTATTTAAAGAAAGCCATCTCTGTAGACCTGCACTGTCCTTTCTGTGGCCACTAGCCCCAGGTTGCTCTGGAGAACTTGAAACATAGCTAGCTCAAATGGAGATAATGCTTTAGGCATAAAATATACATTGAATTTCTAAGATTTGCCATAAAGAAGAACATAAAATATCTTACTAATAATTTTTATATTGGTTGCCATGTTGAATAGTAATAATTTGGATATATTAAGTTAAGTAAAATGTATTATTGAAGTTAATTTTGCCTCTTTCTTACTTTTATAATGTAACTGCTGGAAAAGTTAGTATCACATGGGTGGCTTGAATCGCACGTGTATTGGACAGTGCTGCTCCAAGCTGCATAGTAAATGTCTTCAGAGAAGTCACAAAATGTTTCTAAATGGTGACCATATAGCAGCAAGAACTTAAAAAAAAAAACCACCCTGAAAAGAATGACTTTTAAAGAGAGTCAGAGTCAGTATTGACTATCTGATTTTAATTAGTTAGCAGTGACTTCACTTGACAGAGAGAAAGTTTCCCGGGAGTTCACAGGAGCTGAGACAGCAGAAAAAGCAAGAGCGCATGTGCTTCGTTCTAGCTGATACATCGTGGCTGGATTTACATGGGAACTTAATTTGAGTGGTGAAGAAACAGTCATAAAAGCATGGATTCTTCCAAATATCTAGAGTTATAAAAGCCAGTGAAGGAGTGTTATGTATTTGACAAAACATGCAGGTTTTATTGAATTATTTTCTGTTTTTATTGCTTACAAAGTGAAATGAAGCTAATACTGGGAGATTTATGGCTACTACTAATAACAGAGGCATCATAAGAACTATAGCAAGTGGAACATTTTCAGTCCGAAAAGTAAAGAAGTATAAATTGCTTCAAAGAAGGGATACCTAAAGGATCTTCCTGGTCCCAATCAGGATTAAACTGAGGAAGGAGAGTGAGGGGCATCCGGCCTACTGGGACTTCTTGTTAAGACTGAAATTTTTCATATATTTTTTAGTATTCCAAGGAGATATGGGTGACATCATATCACCCAAGACAAAAGGCCAGATAATGGTCAAATTGACAACAAAACTAAGGTTTTCAGATTACTGAAAGAGAACTGAAAATGAGAATTATGTGATTCTTCTTTCACATGTAGCTATTACTTGTTATGGAGTTTTTCTTTGTCAACTTTATTGAAGCATAACTTACCTAAAATAAAATATTTTCATTTTAAGTGTACAGTTGGAATTGATTTTGAAAAAAAACATGTTTAGTCATGTGACCACCACCCCAAACAGGACATAGAACAGCTCTCCATCTGGGGCGATAACTCTGGAAAACTTCCTGGGATCCTTTGCAACAATCCTCAGCCCCTCTGCAGGTTATCAGTGATACGATTTCTAACACTTTAGATTAGTTTTGCTCCTTCTAGAACTTCATGTAAATGAAATCATGTATTTTTTTTTTTAGCATCTAGCTTCTTCAGCTCAGGATGAATGCTGCAGTATATATCAATATTTAATACCTTTTTGTTGCTGAATAGTATGCCATTATATGGATAAACACATTTTTGTTTGTCCCTTAACCTATTGATGGACAAGTGGATTGTTTCCAGTTTGAAGCTATTGGAAATAAATCTGCTGTATAAACATTCAAAGACAGGCTTTGTGTGGACATGTATTTTCAAGTCAATTGGTAAATACCTAGGAGCAAGGCTGCTGATTCTATGGTAAGATTATGTTTAGTTTTGCCAGAAACTACCAACTGTCTTCCAAAGTGGCTGCACCCTTTCGAATTTCCACCACCAGTGAATGAGAGCCCCGCTGCTCTGCAGCCTCGCTGGTGTGAGGTGTCTATTCAGGTCTTTTGCCTACTTTTTGATTGGGTTGTGTTTTTTTTTTTAATTGTTGGATTTTGAGAGTTTTTGAACTTTTGGATCTAAGTCCTTTATCAGATTGGTGTTTTGAAAACATCTTCTCCTGAACTATGGCTTATTTTTATTTTCCTAATACTATTTTTTGCAGGGCCTGAGTTTTTGAAATAAATTCTATTGTATCAATGTTTTCTTTCTTGGATTGTGCTTTTGGTGTCATGTCTAAAATCTCATCACCTGCTGTGGTTTGAAAGTGTCTCCCCAAAATTCATATGTAGAAATCCTAACCCCCAAAATGATGGTATTAGAAGGTGGGGCCTTCAGAAAGTACTAAAGTCAGGAGGATGGAACCCTCATGAAGGAGATTGGGGTCTTCTAAAAGAGGCATCAGAGGGTTCCCTAGTCTCTTCCACCATGTGAGGACCCAGCGGAAGGCTGGCAGCCTACAACCCAGAAGACAGCTCTCACCCAGCCATGCTGGCACCCTGATCTCTGGCTTTCGTCCTCCGGAACTGTGAACAGTAGGTTTCTGTTGTTTATAAACTACCCAGTCTGTGATATTTTGCCATAAGAGCCAGAATAGAATGAGACATCAACAAACCCATAGTCACTTAAGATTTTTCTTTATAGTTTCTTCTTGTTTTAGGTCTATTCAGCTTTTCTGTTTCATCTTGAATCAATTTCAGTAGTTTGTGTCTTTCTAGGAATTCATCAGTTTTACCTAAATTATCTAATTTGTCATCATACAATTGTTCATAGGATTTTCTTATAATTATTTTTCTTTTGTAAGGTTGGTAGTAATAGTCCCCCTTTTATTTAATTTCATAAGTTAAGTCTTCTTTATTTTTTCCTGTTAGTCTAGAGAAAAGTGTGTTGATATTTTTGAAGTATCAACTTCTGGTTTTGTTGATCTTCTTTATTATTTTTCTATCCTCTATTTCATTAATTTTACTCTAATCTTGTTTTTTTTCTTCTTTTTTCTTATTTTGGGTTTGGTTTGCTCTTTTTTTCCAGTGTCTTAAGGTGGGAGGCTAGGTTGTTGACTTTTTATATTTAACATATGTTTTTACAGCTATAAACGTTCCTCTAAGCACTCATTTAGCTGCATCCTCCAAGTTTTAGGATGTTTATCTTAATTTTCACTCATGTCAAAGTATTTTCTTAATTTCCCTTGTCATTTCTTTCTGATCCACTGGTTACTTACAGTGTTTTGTTTAATTTCCACATATTTGTTAATTTCCAAGATTTCTTTCTGTTATTAATTTATAATTTTACTCCATTGTGATTGAAGGATGTACTTTGTACAGTTTTGATCCTTTTAAGTTTCCTGGGGCTTATTTTATGAACTAAATTGTGGTCTATACTGGGGATTATTTTGTGTGCTCTTTAGGTGAATATGTGTTCTTTTTTTGGGTGGAGTGTTTATGGATGTCTGTTAGGTCTTGTTTGAATATTACATTGTTCAAGGCTTTTTTGTCCTTGTTGATTACCTGCCTGGTCTTTCTATCCATTATTGTAAGTAGGATATTGAAGTCTCCAACTATTAATGTTGAATTGTCTGTTGCTATCCTCAATTCTATTAGCTTTTGCTTCATTTGTTTGGGGGCACTGTTATTAGGTGCATGTATGCTTATCATTCTTACTGATGGATTGACCCCTTTATCACTATAAGATATCTCTCTTTATCTCTAGTAACATTTTTTGTTTGAAGTCTATTTTGTTTGGAATTAGTATAAGCCATTCCAGATTTCTTATAGCTGCTTTTCATATGATATATCTCTTTTCCATCCTTTTACTTTCAGCCTATTCGAATATTTGAATCTACTCTGTGTTTCTTGTTGACAGCCTACAGTTGGATCTTATTTTGTTTAGCTTACCCAGTCTGATTGGATTATTTAATTAATTCACATTTAATGTTATTATCGATAACTTGGGTTTATGTATGTCATTTTAGTTTTTGTTTTCTACATGTCTTATAAAATACATTTTGATGGTCCAGATGGCAGATTGTGGTAGGCAGAATGACCCTCC